CGCCGCCCGGCCCTGCCGCCGCTCCTGCTTGTCCCCACCGATGCTCCTGGAAAACCCCCTTTCCCGCCTCGTCCTTGTCCTCGTCGTGGCTCTGGCCGTGTTGGTCCTGGCAGCTCTCCCTCTGGTGCCACCCTGCTCCGGGTGGCCGGTGGCTGCCCTTGGCACAGAGACAGCCCAGCTCTCTCCCCCGGGATGGATGTTCCCAGCGTAGATGCTGCCAGTGAGGGAAACAGGGTGGCTCTACGTCGGCCTTGGTGGCCCCTGGGACATCCTCGTCCCTGCAGGGCTGTTAGGATGGAGGACCCGGTGCGAGGTCCCTGCTGGGGCTGGACCACGCGGGGCTGGCAGGATCCTGCACACCCAACCCTGAGACTGACGGCATGGAGAGCTGGGGCTATGTCCAAGAGCGGCCACCCCTGTCCTTCCGGAGGACGCCGTGTGGAAGGTCCTGCCCCTTCCCTCCGTGCTGTTCCTGCCTGCAGTGGTGCTGTGTGTGTGTGTGGGTGCCAAGCCCTTGTCCCCCGCGGTGCCCGCGCTGCCTCCGTGACGGCGCGCGCCCGCGCTCTGCTTCTGCTGTGGCTGTGCCGTGTCGTGGTGGTGGCTGCGATGGCTCCTCCTTGTCTGTGTCGTGACGTGTCTAGCGAGGCCCGCGCAGGGCTGGAGGTCCCTGCGGGTCCCCGCTCCTCCCTTGCGCTGGTTCCTCCGGGCGGGAAGTTCTTTGTGGGGTGGGCAGCATCCACCTGGTGCCCAGCACGAGCGAGGACGGAGGTGGCACCTGCCGTGCACAAGGCACCACTGGCCTCCTTGGCCCAGGGACACCCCTATGATGAAGTCGCTTCCCAGTATCGCGTCTGCTGGGAGGCTGGATCGCGAGGGCCACGATCAGCAGCACCCGGATGAGCACCATGTCCTCAGATGAGCCCCATGTGCTGGGATGCCCTGAGGGAAGCAGCCAGGATGATGCTGGGCCCTTGGCCAGGTCCTCGGCAGCATCCGAAGATCCTCATCTCCTCCCCACAGCCTCGCTCCCAACAGGCTGGGCCAAGACGCCTTTTCCAAGAGCTTGGCCAATGCTGCCGCCTCCCACGCAACAGAGAAACACCCAGTGCTGCACAGGCCCATGTGGAGCCTGGGTGCAGCGCAAGCATGTCCGGGAAACCAAGGGCTCTTCAGGGCACACGGAAGGAGAGTGCTCAAATCCCGGGCCAGGCCTTGGCTGTTTCTGGCCCTGCTTCCAGCGGTGCCTGGGGCTGGCCGAGCGCCGCTCTCCTGCAGCAAGCCCGTGTGCTGTCTGCACTCACCGGGGCATCCGCCAAGGCCCCATCTGCACCATGGCTGCGCGCGGCCTCTCTGCAGAGCCGCGGCCTCCAGC